CCAGCGGGTGTGAGCCGGGGGCCAGTGAGTTGTCCCCCTGCTGGGCTGTGTGATGGGGGCGGCCACAGCATCTCTGCTAGAAAAGTCTGGATCCGCCGGTTGCCATGGGTGGGGGATTTGGGGATGGATGCATCCAAGGCCGGATCCTGCACCCTTCTCTGGGCAGTGCTGAGCCCCAGCTTCTCTTAGGGCTGTGTCTGAGCTGCCTTTCCTCTGCGGCATGCCTCCTCCCCTGCTTTCTTCCGAAAATAGCCCCGTGCCAAATGCTTTGCCCACCGACAGCTGCGCAGCCCCGCGGCCACCTGCGCCCCGTGGGCAGGGCCACTGCGTCCCCGCCAGGCAGGGACCCTATGGGTCCCTGGAGGGGGGGACACCACGTGCAGCCGCAGTGGGTGCTCCCGGGGTGCTGTTTGCCCCCATCCCGCTCCCGCCAGGAGCACTTCCCACCTGGGCCCTGGCACCCAGATGCTGCCAGATGTTGCAGCAGGTCCCAGCTGAACGCTCACAGCTGGCGGGCCCCCCAGCTCCCCCCTGGCCCGCAGCCGCGTCCTGCTGGCTCTCCTCCAGCGCGCCCGTGCCTGGCTCCTGGGAAAACCAGGCTCCCATTTCGGTGTCCCCCCCGCCTCCCACCGTGCTTTATCCTGCGTTATCCACGGGGAGAAGCAGCCAGGTCCCTCCTGGGGGTCATCGGCCCCCGAGGCGGGGGTGGGCAGCGCGGGGCAGCGGGGGGGGGGGTCCCGGGGGGTGGGGGGGGGGGGGGCTGCGGGGTGCTCCCCGGGCAGGGGGCAGTGGTTTGCAGGCACGTGGGGCTCACCGGCCCCCAATTTGCAGGGTTTCACCAGACGCGACCCCGTTGTTGTTGCAGGTTGATGGTCCCCTGGTCAGCGGCACCCTGGGGAGAAGATGGCTCAGCCTGCACCCCTGAACCAGAACCTGCCAGGTAAAGGGACCGGGGTGGTCACTGGGCAGGGACAGTGAAGGGAGCACGAGGGGAGTGGCAGGGCTGAGCGGTCCTGTCCCATCCTGATGGGTTTCCTCACCCCAGTGCTGACCCTGGTGCAGCGCGGCTGCCCTGTGCCACCCGACGGCACCCGGGGTGCTGGGGACAGGCCATCCACCGGGCCCGCTGCCAGCAGCATCGCGGCAGGGAGGGGGGCTGCAGGCTGCAAACCCCAGTATAACCCATTTTGAAAAGGTTGGAAAAGCCTTCCTGTCTCCACCAGGTCCCTGCTTAATCATCCCCGCTCCTCTTGCAGATCTCGGGGGGCCATTCTTGTACCGGGACCAGGACGATGGGGAGAAGAGCTCATATTCAGTGGAAACCCCCTACGGCTTCCTCCTGGACCTGGATTTCCTGAAATACGTTGATGACATCGAAAGCGGCCAGACGCTCAAGAAAGTGCCGCTGCCTCGCAGAGCAAGAGGGGC